AACACTTAGTCAATTATGTTAAAAACAGGGACGCATCTTCCTTCGCTCAAGAGGTGGGTCAAAAATGTGAGGGGCCACTCGAGCGCAACTTTCTTCTCTCGAGTGATCTATAAACTCTAAAAAAGTACAAGATGCTTGATTTTTCCGCTTGACGCACGCTCGATGGTCATTCGAGCTTGAGATTGAGGTTTTCGCTCGAACGCAACTTTTGTCGCCCGAGCGATATGCAAAATATGTCAACTTTTGGGAGCATGCAATTTACGCTCGAGCCAACTTTTGGTTCGCTCGAGCGGAAGTTCAAAACACAGAGTGGTCGCTCGAGCACATGATCTGTTGCTCGAGCAGTGAGGCAGAATTTGGAATTTCTAGATTGCTCTTCCAAGTTCGAAACTCAAATTCAAAGCTGCAAATTATGGTCTTTTGGGCCAAAAACTTGAGGAAGCACTTATAAACTAATATAACATGATGAATTTAAAATCATTTCACAAAATCAAGGCTCAAAAGCTTACTAATTGCCCAAAAATTCGACTTGAAACTTAAGAATGTGATATGAACATAATATGCATGAATTGTTATGAGCTTAAACTTTTCAAACATGATCAATTAAGGTCAAATGATAAGAAATGTGATGAATTCTCAAAACAAAGTCAAGATAGATATATGTATGTGGGATTTGTTTGAAATTCAAACTCAAAATACTATGATATATGCTTGCATGCATGAAATTCATCTACTTAAGCTTAATTGTCAAACTTATCCCTCTTAAGTTCAATCACTTATGTCTTGAATACAAAGATTATGAATCAATTACATACCTAAGATCCTTAATTGAGTTCTAAATTGCTATGTCTTTGAGCCTCCAAGTCAATTCCTCAATTTCTAGCTAAATCCAAGCTAATTCCTTACTCTTCCTCATTTATCTCAATCTCTAGCTCTCTCTCTCTCTCTCACGTTATGTTGAGCTCAAAAATGATAAAGGAAAGGTGATTCAAGTGGTGTATAAGCCTTTTATAGGCTTGATTAAGAAACTCAATTAATTAAACTTACCATTAAACAAATGAGCTTCAATTATTTTAATTATTTCGTTCCTAATCGAATTTCGATTAAACCCACTATAAAATTCTAAAAATTCTAACTAATACATAAATCAAGTTTATTTCGTAATCGGATGCCGAAAAAGCCTTCAATTCATAGTACATAACAGAAACACAAACAGATATGTCTACGCAAAACAGATAGAATCTCATATGGCATATCACATATGCAATTAATGCAAAATTCCACCTTAATTACTTATTTGGCATCCTTAATCATGGTTTATCAGTTAATCATGGGTCGAGGTTATTACATCTACAATAAGAAAATTACATAAATTATTAATTGAAATTAATTTCTTATATCATTAAAAATTATTAATTGACTTGATTATTTGTTATGAAATTAGAAATTTCAAGGGACGAGAAGTAGTTTCCATAATCACAGGAGCAATTTGTATTTTAAGCAAATCTCATGAAGTATATCTGTAATTTATCCTTGAATTAAGGGTTGTTTTGGGAATTAATTATTTAATTGATTTTTTTTTTTATACTTTTAACAAAGATACGTGCAGAAAAGTAGAGAGAATAGTTAACTTTTTGGTAGAGACTTTTTGACCATTTTAGTCGGTTGCCAAAATAACCGTAAATATTTTAAAGATTTAATAGATTAGATTCAATGAATAATTTAGAAACTAAATAGAGTTACATTTATATACTTTAAAAACTTAGATCAATACTTCAAAACAAATTTGTGATAATTTTAGGGGTACTTACATGTAGGTCCTAATAAGAAGACTTATTGTTTAATAGGTCTTATGGGAAAAATCTGTCATAAAAAAAGTCACTAATTATAAGTTTTAGCGACAATTTATAAAAATCATGGCAAAAAAAAAGGTCACGAATTGTCAATTTTTAGTGACAATTTTATTAAGATTTATTTTCAATAGAGCTTGATGAGAATTAAGTTTAACTATTGGGATCTATTGATAATTTATCCATAATTTTAGGGTATAATATGTAATAAACCCTTCCCTTATTTGTCACTTTTCTATCAATAAAAAGGTTTGAATTGATGAGGATGGGCAGAGGAGAAGGGTAAAGAAAGTGGAGAAGTGTTGCGAACAAAAAAAGAGAGTTAATTTTTGAGATATTTTAGGAAGTTGGTTAAAAGTTAATTTTTTAATTTTTTTTAAAAAAAATTATGTAAAAAAATAAAGAAACAATATAAAAAAAATGGAAAAACCAAAAAAATTAACCTTTAGCCAATTAATCAAAATAGGCCAAAGGAATTTTGGTTAATTCAACGGTTGAATCAATTACTTTTTTTGGTCTGACGATCAGTAATTTCAGAACATTGGTAGAGAGACAAGGGACTATGGCAAAATAAAGAGAACAAGACAAAGAAGAGATGAGGGAAAATGTAGGCAGTAATTGGTAAAATTTTTTTAAATATGATTTGATAATAGAGTTGTATTTTATATTTGTAAGTTTTGAAATTATGATTTGAGCGTGAAAAATTTGTTTAGTGAATGAGTTTTGAATTTTTTTTTGAATTAAGTAGAGAATTTTTGATGTGATATATGATAGTTGATACAAAAACTTACAACTTACAACCAAACACACAATTTAAAATTCTATTTAAAGCTCATAATTTTTTTATTTAAAATATAAAAAATAACAGGTGCCAATTGTAAAAAAAATAAAAATAATAATCTAAGAGAACTTCCAAAATTTTCCGCTTTGGAAAGAGTTTTCAAAAGTGGGTGTGGAATTAAATTTGGAAAATTCTAAACAAATAACACACTCAAACAATGGGTGAAAATGTGAGGTTGGGTGTAATTCAAAAATTGTGAAGTCTTTTATATTTATGTAATTATTTTTTGTCTATCTATCTATATAGGAAAATGCTATAGGCCACAAATTTTCTACCAAATGAATGACCAAACCTCTTACATGGGTGTGACCCATGTGAGAGGTTTGGTCATTCATTTGGTAAATTTTTTTGTATCTCTAGCATTACTCATATATATATTATAGAAAAACGCTTGGGAGCACTAGAAATGAAACACTAGAAGGACCATTAATGATGTGGCAGTGGGTCCCGTCCACTTTCTATGCCTTGTTTCTTTTTTTTTTTCTGGTCTGACGATCAGTAATTTCAGAACATTGGTAGAGAGACAAGGGACTATGGCAAAATAAAGAGAACAAGACAAAGAAGAGATGAGGGAAAATGTAGGCAGTAATTGGTAAAATTTTTTTAAATATGATTTGATAATAGAGTTGTATTTTATATTTGTAAGTTTTGAAATTATGATTTGAGCGTGAAAAATTTGTTTAGTGAATGAGTTTTGAATTTTTTTTTGAATTAAGTAGAGAATTTTTGATGTGATATATGATAGTTGATACAAAAACTTACAACTTACAACCAAACACACAATTTAAAATTCTATTTAAAGCTCATAATTTTTTATTTAAAATATAAAAAATAATAGGTGCCAATTGTAAAAAAAATAAAAATAATAATCTAAGAGAACTTCCAAAATTTTCCGCTTTGGAAAGAGTTTTCAAAAGTGGGTGTGGAATTAAATTTGGAAAATTCTAAACAAATAACACACTCAAAACAATGGGTGAAAATGTGAGGTTGGGTGTAATTCAAAAATTGTGAAGTCTTTTATATTTATGTAATTATTTTTTGTCTATCTATCTATATGTTATAGAAAAATGCTTGGGAGCACTAGAAATGGAGCACTAGAAGGACCATTAATGATGTGGCAGTAGGCCCTGCCCACTTTTTGTGCCTTGTTTCTTTTTTTTACCAATCTCAATGCATTAGTGCTATTAGTGGTGTATTTTTTAGTGGTCTAAATCATTGTTGTATATTATATAAGGAAAATAAAATTTATAACCCATAAGTCTTATGAGAATTCCAATATCCTAATATTAATTTTCTAATTTTTTGGTTTAATAAAAAAATTTCAATATTTATTGATTCTTCCCAACCTACAAGCCTTTTTTATTTATCTCATACTTACTGTCACACCATTTTCAATTTCTTCCATACACTTGGTTAATGATGGGATTATTAAATTATTTTTATTAAAAATCTTTAAAAAATACTTTGTATATTAAAAAAGTATTTAAAACAAATATAGATTCTTATTAAAAAATAACAGGTTACAATTGTGAAAAAAAAAATTACATTGTGCATTTCGTTAATAATGCTCAAAAAATGTATTAAGTGTTCGTGTAAAGGCTTGACACGTATCCACTCTCCAATTATCAAGTGAATATAGATAAAATCAAAGAAATCAGCTTTAATAGTTAATAAATATTAGAAACCCAACCATTAAAACCCAATAACTATTAATTAATAGAAATTTTCAATTGAAAGGTCTCAAACATATCTCTTTATCTTCTCAAATGTTCTTTTTTTTTTGTTCATGCATTCATTCTAATATTGATAGAGAATTAGACGTACAAAAGAGTGAGAGATATTAAAATTATATATTGAGTTATGTAATTATTGTGGTGAAAAATAAATGTTGTCTTCTCTTTTTATGGCGATTTATCTAGTTATATTTCTAATTAAAATGTCAAGTATGCTTCTATATCATCATTGAATGTTGTTTTTATATTTTTTAAAAGACAAAAAAAATTATAATAATTATAATACATAAAAAAAATTTCATATATATTAAAATATAAAATAATTATGATAATTTTTTTTAATTTAAAAAATTCCGTACATGATGCGGCTATCATTAGTAATCATATAATGGCCAAATCAAAAATTTTAGATGGTAAATTAAAAGTCTCTAACACTGGTAATAGATGATTAATAACTTAAAAAAAAATAAAAAAATAAAAAAAAGGCGATTGTGGCGCCATTACGCCAGCCTCATCCCGGTTCAAATACGAGTGCAATCCGGATAGCTTTGTCATCCAAACAAAATTAAAAGCCCGATTTCAATCGGATAATAAATGGTTGATAACAGACCACACACACTCACAACACCGCTTGCTGAATTCCAGATAAGCCTCTCTCTCTCCAAACCCTAAACCTACTCAACATCATCAATCTAGTTTGCTCCACACATGGAATCACTACTCTCTCAATCCACTTCCATTCACCCTCTCTTCTTCTTCAATCCAAACCAATCAACAACACTTCGTCCCCAATTCAAACCCCGCCCTCCTCGCCGCCCCAATCTCTCCGTATATTCAATCGAAAAGAACAGTTTTTTCCCCGCAAACAATCAAGATCGATGGCAACAGCCGAGAACGCTGTTTCCGGGAGGGTACAAGAGGCCGGAGATCAAAGTACCCAATCTTATTCTCCAATTGAGCCCCGAAGAGGTGTTGGAGGATACAAGTGTTGTGGATTTGATTGACGAGGCGGTTTCGAGGCGGGTTGGGGTTGTGGTGCTCAATGGGGGTGTTGGAAGTGGTGGGAAGCTGTACGAGGCTGCTTGTTTGTTGAAGTCTGTGGTTAGGGACCGGGCTTATTTTATGATTTCTGAGCGCGTTGATATTGCTTCTGCTGTTCATGCCAGTGGTGTTGTCCTCTCTGATCAAGGTTTTTTCTGTTTTGTTTTTTGGGGCTCTTCCTTACTCTGTATTATTCGGTTGTGCTTTGATTATGTCAAGTGCTTGGTTTCTGTTGGTGTAATTACCAAAACACAAAACATACTTATATGGAACCAAAAATAAATATTAGGCCAAGGACCATAAGAAGACATCAAAATTTGCGTCTTTCTGTTGGTTTACAGATGTCTGTTCTGTTGGTCGATCTTGGGCGGTTTTGCACAAAAACCGTATACACAGAGGAGAAAGAAAAAAACTTCGCAGAGATAGATCTAAGAAAGAGGAGATTTGAGAGATTGAACATCAATAAGAACGACGGTACCATCGATCACAACCATTGCCACCATCGATTATCCAAGGCCAGTGCCACCTTCAATCTACGAGAGAGAGAGAGAGAGAGAGAGGGGGGGGGGAGATTAGAGGGAGTGTGATCTTTGAAGAGAGCCACCATCTCCACATGTTGCAGTGCGATATATGGATTTGTGCTAGGGGGATGATTGGGATGATCTAAATAAGTGTACTTTTTGACTTTTTATAAAATATAGGTTGGGTTTGAAGTGATATAATAGAGAGGTGATATGACTTAAATAAGAAAATGTGACTTAAATAGGATAGTGACTTTTTAACTTTTTGATTTTTTTAGATTATGACAAACAAGGCCTAAGATATACAAATTTGATGTGAGAGATAGAGAACAAGAGAGAGAGAGAGAGAGAGAGAGAGAGAGCTCTCTTTTGGTCTTCTCTAGGATTTTTTTGGAATGAAGGAAAACCAAACATGGTGGAGTGCCAAAAGCCAAACAGAAAGACGAGAGTTAGAAGTTAATACTTACCATTTCTAAACTTTACTTCCAATCTAATGATGACATGTGGTCAATTTTACTTATTTGTAATTATTATTTTTTGAGAAAAAGAGCTACATGCTATTTGAGATTGCTAAAGCACATGAACTATCTCATATATATTATAAATTCGGTCGGTTTGGTTTTGTCGGGCCAGTGTTTTCAAAATATAATGCCGACCTACCATCCAAAAATATTGGAACTCTAAGAACTATTGCCGACCGTCTAGTAGTGCGAAATTGAACGTTCCACTTTGGGTCAGACCGGGTCAGTCCAATTAGTCAAAATTTTTTGGATTTATGAACAACCCTACTTCCCAGTATACAACAACCCGACTATTAGTCATGTTAGCTTAAACTATCTCTGCATGAGATTGCGCCCAAAACTCCACCAAAGAAACACCCTTACATTGCAAGTTGCTATGAAATCTCTTTGTATAATAAAATATAGAACATAATATTCATACTAATAGGTTTACAACTCATTTTTCATTTTTTTGCCAAAGCTTGTGTTCTATAGACTTGGTTGTTTTGGGGGGAGTACCTATGTCGACACGACACAGGTGTGGGATCTGGGTTGGATTCGACTCTTCTCACTCAAATACGGTTAACTCAAGGAGGAAGATGTGCATACCTTTCAGAGAAGTTCGATTTGTGAGTTTGTGGCTTAGAAACGAAGTTCGATAATGAGTTTTTGGTCAGTGGTGATGTCAAAGTTCTTGGTTGATGGCAACGCCAAACTTTGATAAGATTCGAGTTTGATCAATCCTTTCAGAGATAGCTATGAAGCACGGATACTTCAAAAAGGGTGACGTATCCGTATCGGATACTTATCGGATACCGATACTCCTCGGATACTCGCGGATACGTATCGGATACTTCTTAAAAGTAGCGGATACGTATCGGATACTTCTTAAAAGTATCGGATACTTCTTAATTAATTTTTTATTAATTTTGAAGTATCAAATACTTAATTTTGAAGTATCGGATACTCGAAATTACATATTACTTATAATATTTTATTTAGTTCTTTGATAAAAGGAATATAGTGAGAGTTAAAGTAATAGAATTTGTCAAATTGATGTATCCTTGTTGTCTCTCTCACTTCTCTCTCGCTTTCTCACTCTCTCACGTTTCTTCTCTTTGCTCTCATTCTTTTTTTGATGTTGGCATGTAAGGATGATGTTTAATTTGCATTTGCTTTTGCTTTTGCTTTTAGTTTTGGATGTTTTATGAATGTTTGAGCACTTTTATGTTAATAGGAATCCCTCTCTTTACTTATTAATTTACTTTAAGTTTTATTTTCATGCATATTACATTATTAAAATTAAATTTTTTTTTTTTTACAAATGTATTCTCGCTGTACCCGTATCATATTTTTTCAAGTTTTGACATATCTCCATATCCACATCCCCATATCACCATATCCGTATCCGTGCTTCCTAGGCTATCATTGATGACTTAAAAAAGTATATTTGCTGAAATTTTTATTTAAGAATGGTTTTTTGGCTTTAGCTAAGGTCTTGTGATATTCACTGATGAAGGGGAACAAGTTGAAACTATTGACCTTGAAGACTCTTAGTTTTATAGGAATCTTTCTTCTTCATCAAGTTGTCTTTTGCTTTAGGTTTTATTTTTATGCATACTGCATTACTAAAAATTGTTAAAATAATATTTTTTGCGAACGTATCCCCGCCGTACCCGTATCCTAATTTTTCAAATTTTGTTTTATCGCCGTATCCGTATCGTATCGTATCCGTATCCCGTATCTGTATCCGTGCTTCCTAGAGAGATAGGGTTTGAAGAATCAATCAAATTTGACTGTTCTATTTGAGAGAGGGGGTTCGATTTGAGAGGTAGAGAAGTTAGGATTTATGTGAAAAGAGAGGGTAGATGGAGAGATGAAGAGAGCGTGTGTATGAAGTCCAAGGATGCCTTGTGTGAGAGAAAGAGTCCAAGCCAATGTTATCATGTGCACATGCAAGTGGAATTGAGCTGGCAAACCAGTGGGGAGACAGAGAGAGAGTCCAAGCCATTGGTATCATGCGCGTAGGCAAGTGGAATTGAGCTGGAAAACCATTAATTGATATAACTGACTTACTTAATTGATAATATACTATGCTCAATAAATGTGTAACCAACTATAACTAAAAAAAACTGAGCTTAAAAAAAATTAATTGATTTGTTAATTAGGTACTTTGATTATTTATTGTTATGAATTGATGATTAAAAATCATTATTAGTTAATCAAAAAATTATTGGCAATTGGGAACCACAAATACTTATTAATTGATTAATTATCTAATGGGTACATTACATATGTCGTATCCCAGTACCCGTATCTAATTTAGCCGAGTCAGAAAAATGGGAGAATTCAACTCTCAGACATGCGACACCAGTGCCGAGTATGTGTGGTGTGTAACATAGGCTAAAGCATTCACGTTGTTTTGTGTCATTAATTTTCAACGTGAAATTCTTTGATGTTGATGTCTTTCTCTATTCTTTTATAGGTCTTCCTGCCATTGTGGCAAGGAGCACAATGATGGATTCCAATTCTGATTCAGTAGTTCTTCCGTTGGTAGCAAGAAACGTGCAAACTTCAGGTGCTGCTTTAAATGCGTCTAATTCTGAAGGTGCTGATTTTCTTATCTATAGGATTGATGGAGTAAAACATGCTGAGGAACTCGTGAGATTTGTTTTGGACAATGTGAAAATTCCAATCTTTATCATGATCTCATTGCTTGGATTTGACATATTATCTAGTGAAGCTGCAAAATTACTTAAATCAGGAGCCAGTGGTTTAGTGATCTCATTGGAAGAATTGAAATTGTTCTCTGATGAAGTCCTGAGCAAATTGTTTTACAATGCACATCCATCGAATGAGAGAGGACAGGAAAAAATTCTAAGCAGTGATAAGCTCAAACTATTGAATGTTGACAATGGCTTTCCTGGGAAAAAGGGGGTGGCTGGCTTTATTAAATTGGAGGACAGAGAACGTCAGTTGATAGAAAAAGAGAAGTTGGTGTTGCTTGAAGTGATAGATGTTATGCGGGAAGCTGCACCACTGGTGATCTTTTAATATTATCATTTGGTAGTTGAAGTTATTCTTCAATTTATTCTACTTTTGTTAGTGATTTCCTTGCTTTTTACTTATTTGAGGCATATCAATCTTGATGGACAGATGGAGGAGGTCTCACTTCTAATCGATGCTGTTTCTCAACTTGATGAGCCATTTTTTCTGGTTATAGTGGTAATTGTGTGCTGAACTTCAACCAATTCTGGTTCCAGGGATATACATTGGTATTAGCTCTGAATTTCAAATAAATTCTTTATTTTTTCACTTGTTATAGTTATAAACTTATAATTAAGTTTTTATTTTTATTTTTAAAATTTTTTTATTCTCTTTTGAAAAAAAAAAGTGTTCATGCATTTTTCTGTTTTAAGATGTTCAAATAACAAACGTTCTATGCCTACTCTTTTTCAAACTTTTGCTTCTGTTAATATGTCATTTGAATGGATGATTGTTATAATCCAAGATGTGAATGGCAAATTTGATCTATCTAATATTCCATACTCTGGGGTCTGTTGGTGGAGTAGATCTTAAAAAATATTGACACAGTGAATATTGTATGATGAAAGTTAGGCATTGACAATCTGATTTTTTACGTGTAACTGTTGAGGCCAATCTTATATGCTGGGCATATGCCAATTCTATTGTAGCGCTTTAGTCTGCTTTTCTTATTTTTAATTTGCTTTAAAGGATCAACGTGATTGAAAGCAATATTCCGATTGAAGAAATTTAAACTTCATTGATCTTGCAATTGTAGTATTTTTTTTGATGACTCGAATCGTCATTTGTCACTCTTTCATTTATTTTGTATATTTTCTGGTTTGATGTACTAATGCACTTAAAAGTTTGTGTCAACACCTTGGATGTGACAAATTATGCATCAAATAAATGGGTTAGGGCGCAAGCTTCTTTAGGTGTCGTTTGGCAAACTTGGTTTTTTGGCTTTTTTGACTTTTTTAGCCTAGGACTTTTTTGTTTGTTTGGTTTTCTTGTTTGGCTTTTTTGACTTTTTTGCATTGGAATGACAAAATTGCCCTCCACTTGAAATGATGCTTTTTTGGCTTTTTGTTTGTATATGGGTCAATTTGGTAATTTTGCATCAAAAGTTAAGTGTTTTGTCCTTTTATGATTTTGTGCCTTTTTTTTTGTCCTTATGTGCTTATTTAGTCCCAACTCAAAAACCAAACCAAGGCTTATTTATGTTGGATTCTGTTAAAACCTATCACCTACTTCACCCACTTAAACCTACTCCACTAAACCTAACCCACTACACCACTACCACATCACCTACTCCACTAAACCTAACCCACTACACCACTACCACCTCCACTTCACCTACTCCACCTACCACCTACTACCACCTACTCTTCTATATATAGGAATCATTGTAACATTCAATATATCAATCAATCAATAATACAATTCTCTTTATACATTGAATTTCAACATGGTATCAGAGCAGGTTTAGAACCTAATATTTTCGCTTCCCTGGCGGGCGGCAACCTCACCTTAGCCGCCCGCCGGACCTCAACCTATTCCGTTTATTTTCTACACATACCTTTCCATCATTCTCTCTCTCTGGTCAGAAGCTTGGAGACATCACAGAAATGACCTTTGGTGGTCGCTATGTGATTTTGATGATGGCACTCTTTTCAATCTACACAGGCTTGATCTATAATGAGTTCTTCTCTGTCCCGTTTGAAATATTTGCTCGTTCAGCCTATGCTTGCCGTGATCTTTCTTGCAGGGATGCTACTACTGCAGGCTTGATTAAGGTGGGTGACACATATCCATTTGGTGTGGACCCTGTCTGGCATGGTTCCCGCAGTGAGTTGCCATTCCTCAGTTCGTTAAAGATGAAAATGTCAATACTTCTCGGGGTAGCCCAGATGAACCTTGGAATCTTTTTGAGCTATTTCAATGCCAAGTTCTTCCGCAATAGCCTGAATATCTGGTGAGTGTCATCTGCTAATATCAATCTTTTGAGGAATGGGTACTGTGATATTTTGGGCATTTGTTAAGTTCTTTTCAAAACCTTCATAGCAACATATACGCATCTGTAGAGTAATAGATGTGTATAAATCCACATGTTTTTGGACATTCTTCACTTGCAGTACCCAATTGCTTGTTCTGATAACTACTAACCACTTTGTTTTTTTAGGTTCCAATTTGTTCCCCAGCTGATATTTTTAAATAGCCTGTTCGGTTACCTTTCCCTCCTCATCACAAGTCAAGGTT